CATGATAGTGAGGTTGTTGTCCGGTTCGTTGAAAGCACACGTGCAACGAATGGACAACAACAAAATGGAGAAGCCGCTTGAACAAGCTCTTCAAGCGTAAATCCAACAGAGGTCGTGGACGTGGGCCTCATACTCATTAAAATACTTCCAGGGGACAGAGCCGTGGTAGAGATCATTATGACAAATCAAATGTAGAGTGCTACAATTGCCATAAACGGGGTCATTATGCCAACGAGTGCAGATTCAAGAATGATAATCAAGCAGCTAATTATGCACAAGAAGAAGGCAAACATGGTGTGACTGAAAGTGATCATGCTATAATGATGGTTTCTGCATCAAGTGAGATGCCAAATCATCACACGTGATTCTTGGATACTGGTTGTACGAATCACATGTGTGGAAGGAGGGAATTATTCACGGAGATGGATGAAACATTTCGTATGAGTGTGAAATTTGGAGATGGCAGAACAATTCCAGGGAAAGGGCAAATTCTCATCACTATAAAGAATGGTGATCACAGGTACATTACAAATGTATTTTATGTACCTGACATGAAAAGCAACCTGCTAAGTATGGGATATGTGATGAATAGATGGAAACCAGTTCTCTGTTTTTGACAAACAAGGTACTTTAATTCTCAAAACCTTTTTGTCGAAAAAACGCATGTTCCCAATTGATATTGTTGGATGATAAGTCCGTATTTTGACACTCATTTGATGCGTGTTGGGATCGGATTTTGATGTTTTTCCTAACTTTAAGGTGTTGCAAGTCTCAATTTTGGCTCAAGTTATGTTTACCGGACATTGGTTCGAGTTTTGTGTCATTTGGAGTCAAAATCAGGAATTTAGAGTTCGGCACCGGCGCTTGATGAGCAATCGGGATGATTCGAGATGCATTCGAGATTGGATTGAGAGCTTTGGGGGTCACCGGGAGGTTCACGATGAAGATTTGATGACAAAAGAGCTCTAGAAGTGGCTACGAGATCAAAAGAAGATAATGAAGCTGGAAAATGACAATCAGGATGACATTCAGTCAATCGTTCAAGCATATCTCTTTGTAGAAACATCCAAATAACACGATTAAAGTTCCATATGAAAGCCAACTTAAAGTTATACAAATCATATGAAGACACCATTTCAAGAATCTGAGAGGACGAAGGTTAAAACAGACGATGAAGTCAGATATCGATGTTGCGATTTCAGAATGCCACCTTCCACTATTGTATTCATATCTCTTGATTGGATGATTCAAATCCAATTCGGCAAGTTGTGGTGGATACAGGACTTCATTATCTACAACTTTCATGAAAGAAGTTTTTTCAAATTCGGAACGGAAAAGTCCAAGCACGGTCGTGCTTGGGAGATAGGCACGCCGTGCCTGAAGAAGAACTCGGTACCTAGCTACTGGAGGCCAGGCACGATCGTGCCTGGAGGGAGGCACGACCGTGCCTACCCAAAACGCGCAACTTTGCTCCGGAGGCACGGTCGTGCCTGGCACCGTGCCTGCCTCCGGAAATCCCGATTTGAGCCGAATTTTGACTGTTTTCTATAAATAAGGCCTCCATACTCATATTTTGGGGGTTACGAACATTACGGAGAGGCCTAGGGACGAATTTACTTGCGTTTTTACGTCGTTTTCTTCAAGAACCCTAGGATTATTTATAAGTTCATCTTTTTAATTAATGACGATTAATTTTATTCTTCCCAATTCTGTTGATTCTTCAATTATGAATTGTGAGTAGTTTAATTAGGGATTTGGGGTTGATGAAGGGATTGATCACGATGTATGACTAGATTTTTGTTGGTTTAATTGCATGAATGCCGTTTAATTTGTGTTTGAATAATTTAACCGATATCTTTTGTAACCTAGAACCTCGACTAGAATTACGATTGCTTGTTGAATAAATCAAGAGAGATCTAATTTATTCTAGGACACATTCACACACACTTAATCGTTCGCTAAGAGATTAGTAGAGATTAAGGGGCCCTAAGATCGCTCGTCTTGGCAATAAATTAGGACAGAGATCAGCATAGTCCCCTAAATTATTGTACTCTATGCCGCGAGAGCGGTAAGAACTTAGTAATGATTAGCTACGCTCAATTAAATCAATTTCATGTAATTAGGCCTGATCTTCCAGAAATCCGGTTACCCCTGATCAATCCATGTTCCCTTTGTCGTTAATTAAGAAGAAACCAATCTTTTACTTTTATCACTCATTCGCATTAGTTTAATTTCCCAGCAACCAATCATATCTCGCACGACGAATTTATTTTATTTATTTTTAATCGCTGAATTTAATTAATTCTTGATTCCCTTTTGTCCGTCCCTGTGGAACGATACTCGTACTTACACCCTATACTACGATCTATTTTAAGTGCGAGAAAATTCACATCACTGGAGGAGAGTATAAATGTCTAAATGCTACTGTGAGTGAGGATGCATGGTTATGGCATTTACGTTTTGGTCATCTAAATTTTCAAAGTCTTGGAAAACTCGCTAAACAAAATATGGTGAAGGGTTTACATTCTATTGAGCATCTTGACCAGCTATGTGAAGCTTGTGTACTAGGAAAGAGTCACAGACTTCCCTTTCAGGGAGATCCATGGCGTGCAAAATATCCTCTGGAGCTAGTTCACACTGATGTATGTGGACCTATGAACACTCCGTCATTAGGTGGCAACAAGTATTTTCTCACGTTTATGGATGATCTTACGAGGAAAACGTGGGTTTATATTTTAAGAAATAAATCAGAAATGTTCAGTTGTTTCAAGAAGTTTAAAGCTAGTGTTGAAAAACAAAGCGAGTATGCACTCAAGATGGTCCATAGTGATGGAGGTGGAGAGTACATCTCTAATGAATTCGAAAACTACTGTGAAGAACATGGGGTGCAGCATACTATAACATTTTCGTACACACCGCAACACAACGGAGTGGCCGAGAGAAAGAATCGGACTATATTGGATATGGCGAGAAGCATGTTGAAGGCCAAAGGTATGCCTAATTCCTTCTAGGCAGAAGCAATGACAACTGTGGTTTATTTGATGAACATATCACCTACCAGGAGTGTCCAAAATATAACTCCAATTGAAAGTTGGAGTGGTTTCAAGCCCAATGTGAAGCAATTGAAGGTGTTTGGATCGATTGCACACGTACATGTACCTGCACCAACAAGGACAAAGCTTGATGATAGAGCTGTAAAATGTGTGTTTGTCGGTTATAAACAAGGTGGATACAAACTGTACAATCCCGTGACGAAAAAGGTAAGTGTTAGTCACGATGTAACCTTTGCTGAAGATGAAGTATGGAATTGGAGTGATGAAGATGCACATAAACATGTTATCTATGTTCTGGAAGAAGAAGCAAAAGCTCTGGTAGCATCCTCAGGTGGAACTGATACTATTGGAACTAACACCGTTGCAAATACACTTATAGAATCTGGAAGGCCACAGAGACAACGTCAACCACCAACACACTTACAAGAATTTGAGGTAAGGCGGGATGATGAGATTGGTGATGATGGAGAGCTGGCACATTTTGCCTTCTTAACAAATTCTAAACCCTTGATGTTTGATGATGTTGTTAATAACCCAAAATGGATGAGTGCCATGAAAGAGGAGATAAAGGGCATATATAAGAATGAAACATGGCAGCTTACTTATCTTCCACAAGGTCACAAATCCATTGATGTGAAACGGGTTTACAAGATCAAAGTCAATTCTAATGGCAGAATTTAACGATACAAAGGAAGGTTGGTGGCAAAGGGTTTCGAGCAAAGGCAGGGATATGACTACGAGGAAACTTTTTCCCATGTAGCTCGATTGGAAACAGTAAGACTGTTGATTGCCTTGGCTGCGCAAAATCAGTGGAAAATGCACCAAATGGATGTCAAGTCGGCTTTCCTCAACGGCCCACTTGAGGAGGAGGTTTATGTCAAACAACCGCCTGGTTTTGTGCATTCTGGATATGAAGGAAAATTGTACATATCCAAAAAAGCTTTGTACGGGCTTAAACAAGCACCACGTACGTGGAACAAGCATATTGATGCTTTCTTTCGCGAAGCTAATTTTCAGAAGTGTCCCTCTGATCATGGGTTATATGTGAAGGCTACAAATGGTGATTTGCTAATATTATGTCTTTATGTTGATGATATAATATTCACAGGTAACAACCCCAAAATGATTGAAGACTTCAAGAGATTAATGTGAAAGAATTTGAGATGACTGATCTTGGCCTGACGTCCTATTTCTTGGGCATTGAGGTTGTTCAAAGAGAAGATGAAATATGTATACACCAAAGAGGTATGCTCTTGAAGTTCTGAAGAAATTTGGCAAGCATGATTCAAATCCAGTTCAGACTCCAATTGAAACTGGAGTAAAACTTACCAAGGATGCTGATAGCAGAATTGTAGACTCAACCACAAAACGAGTGGCTATTGTTTCATGCTTGGGAAAACAATGTGTTCATGATCTTTCAAGAAGCAATGTATAGTTGCTTTATCAACATGTGAAGCGGAATATGTTGCAGCTCCATCTAGTGTTACTCAAGCAATTTGGCTTAATAACATGATGATTCAAATCAGTTTTCAACGGCAGGGTCCAATTAAGATTTATGTTGATGATGTTTCTGCTATTAACTTAGCCAAAAATCATGTCTTTCATTGAAGGAGCAAACACATTGACATACGTTACCATTTCTTGAGGGATCAAGTCACCAAGAATGTGATCAAGTTGGAACATTGCATCAGTGATGATCAAATCGCAGATATATTCACTAAGCCACTGAAATTTGAAACTTTTGACAGGTTGAGGTATCTACTTGGAATGAAGACTCTACCAAATCAGAACTAAGGGGGGATGTTGGCAGATTATTTCTGATTTTATTTGTTTATTATTAAATAAATTAGAGTTGAATTATTCTTTTAGTGAATGCTATTTTATTGGGTTGTAAGAAGTAGTAGAGTCATGGTTTGTTATGATCCTTTTTTGTAGCTACGTATCAAATATAAACTGTGTAAGGCTTATGCTTTAGTTAATACATACGAAGCTCTGTTTCAGTTTATCCTTCTGTTCTTTCCTCCAAGAGCTTTCCCTTCAACTCAAAATTATCTAGAATTTGTACTCTATATTTATTTTCAACAAACTGCTCTCCTTTATGCGAACAAGGAAGAGACTCAGCGATGCTGCTCTCCTTTGTCTTGGTTTTGATTCCTCAGATCTACTTGGCGGCTTTGTCGAAAGACCAGACGGTCTCAGATCTACGCAACTGCTCTTGCCGTAATCTCCGACAAACTCCATCAGGAACTCCGACGATGGCAGCCTCACTTCTTTATGCGAATGGAAAGAACAGAAAAAGAAAAAAAGAAACCAAGAGAGAAAGAAATAACCAAGGAAAGGAAAAACGAAGAAACAAAGACAAAGAGGGGCAACGAAGGGGATTAGGGGAAGTCAGGTCCCTGCGAAGAAGATGCGGAAGTGAGGACATGGAAAACTAGAGAAGAAAAGGAAAGAGAAAAATAAGAGAAAAAGGAAATGACTGCAATGTGACTTGCCACGTGGCCGCCACATGAGCAGTTAATCAGAAAACCGGTTGTTGATCTGCTAAAAACCCTCAATTGAATGTTTTGTAAAAGTTCAGGGGTTTACTTGGGTGTTTTCAAAATGCAAGAGTCTAATTGACTTTTCTGATAGAGTGCGAGGGCTTATTTGAGAGTTTTCTCATAGTAGTTCAATGTATATATCTTTTCATGTACTATCTCCGTATTTTTTTGTTTGCTACAATAGGTGTTGGCACATTTTTTAAGAGTGAAATTGTAGGTGTAATGAATAGTGTAAAAAGTAGGAGAGATGGTGGAAAAATATGAAAGAGAAGATAAAAAGTAGAAAAAGTAAGGATAGTTGAGTATTTTTATAGGAAAAACATACCAAAAAGGGAAAGTGTAGCAAATTTTTAAATACATCCAAAAAAGGAAAGTGTAGCAAACAAAAAGGGTATTATATTTTTTATACATTAACTACAACACATAAATGTTTTAAATTTGGATACTTTTATGCCTTATTAAGAGAAGTCTCGTATATTGACTTTTAGAGCATATCCAATGGTTGCTTTTAGGGATTTGCTTGCAATTTTGAAGCTACTAGCTTATCATTGGAGCATTGCTTTTTCTTTTACTTGAGAAAACTAATTAGCCTAAATGAGCTACTAGTTTGAGCAAGGAGAATATTAAATATAACATTATAAATAATAAATGAAGAGAAAAATGTTATAGCTAACAATTGGAATATATTTCAATTTTGCCACAAAAGCTTACATGGCTAGTGAAGTTATGAGAGAAATCAGTCAACCGCCGGACATGCTCTTATAATGGTATTGATTGTCACTAGCAATGTGTGTGATGAATGGAGAGGATAAGAGAAGACGTGGGAGAAAATTAGAGCGAAAGAGGTGTTGTTAAGCTTTTAGAAACTACTGTTGTCACACGCCGCTGCCGCTACTCCTACCCCTACTCCTAATATAACTACTAGCACTACAACTGCTATAACTACTCATGATGCTCCCACTATCATCAATTATTAATTTACATTTAAAAAAGGTTAAATTGACATTTTATATGGAAAGTTGTAATACGGAGTAATGTTTAAGAAATACACAAAACAAACATTCCTACAACGATGTGGAACATGAAAAGTCAGACAATAAATGAGGGCTTAGAGCATCTATGATGGAGTTTTAGACTTCTTTTTGATTTTCCATATATTAATGAGTTTTAGCGGATTGGGTCTGGGCCGAGCCCAAGCTGGTCTCCAGGTTTACCTGATTTGACCATATTTACTGGTCTGCAGTAAAGCAAATAGGGTTAGGACTCATGTTTCCCTATTTTGTGGAGATCCTCCCGGTCCGGGTCGATATAAAAATGTTTATGGAATACATGAAACAATATACCCTATACGATATCTAGGTCTCGGGTTTGAATCCTGGCAACTGCAATAAGAGGTTACTATGCTGAAAAATGCATCGGGCTTCTGCAAGTACAGGGGACAGAACCTTACTCTCTATCTGTCAGATTGTGATTATAGTCCAATTTACATCCTGTCATCGTTCTGTCTGGTGGTGATGTCATCCTTTTTTTTTTATCAAACCCAACCGCTGTGAAATGGGCCGGAAGTAGTGTGTAGTCCCAATGAAAAGAGGGTCGGTTGGTTGATTTATGCAATGCATCCATTAGATGCTTGCATTCCCTTGACTGACTGCTTTTATTTATTTATACTCCGTATTTCTTCCACTAAAAGTAGCCTTAGCTGTTGTTTACTACGGCACATCCATCCCTCACTAAATACTCCGTAATACGGAGTAATTAATTAATTAAAGAATGTGAGTTGGAAATAGTAATTGCAACGTGGCGGATCGAAGACGAGTACACATGAAACTGAAACCGTCCCGTTGGATAAATGTTTGCCCCAAAACCGTCTCATTCCTCGTTCGGGTAATTTTTATTTGAACCGTACCCATCCCAACGGAGAATCGGTTTATTCACGGGTAACCGTTTCCCCAAATGATACCAAATAACCAATTTTGTTTTTGGGAAAACAAATAACCAATTTCTAATCTTAGTTGTTATTTATATATTCAAAGCACCCTAAAACATACAAAAGAAAATGTTTAAGCAATCAAGCAGACTGGCCTAAATTCATTAGTATGACATGCACCTAATATCTCTTATAACATAATAAAAAAGTAGTAATAATCCAAATTCCAAAAACAGGTTTAGTCCTATATTTAGCTTTAGGCCTAAAAAAGTAGTATATTTTTTAGCATTATTTATATGATATATACATAGTACTATTTAGTACATACTCCCTTCGTCCCTTTTAAATGTCCCAGAAGAGGGTGGCACGAGTTTTAAGAAAAGTGGATTTGTGTGGTTGATAGTAATTGATAAAGTAAGAATGATTTTGTGTAACACCGTCCCCAAATATATTTACTTTTATGTAAATAATGTATCGAACCTTATTAAAGGATTAATGAATTTACGAAGTTGTAAATTTTTATTATTTCTTTCGCGTGAATAGTAATTGCATGTGGGACCCACATCGGGAGCGGGGACCACCCAACTTTCCCAAGACCACATATTTTATTCATCTTGGTCAAGATAATATTTATATGGTGGTGGATATTTTTACTTGGGTCGTGGAAGGGCCTTGTGTTGGCCGATTGGGCAAAAGAGGCCCAAATACCGGTACCGACAATTTAACAGACTTGAGCCCGAAAATGAATTTCGGAGACTTCTAAATTAAAGTTTTGGAATAGATATTATTTCAAAGGGGCGTTACGATTGGGGACACGTAATATATTTTATTGGACCCGATAGAATAAAATATATTTAAAACAGTCCGAAAAATACAACTTTCGGGACCGATTGTACACATCGGGACACAAAGGGATGACCTCCCACATGAGTGGGGGGCCACCCCACGTTTTTGTGTGCTCAACAAGACCCATGTAGGCTGGAATGACAAACTAATATGTGGAGGAGGACCATTTGGCATCTATAGTACCAAGAAGGACCCCTCACCCTCTCTTATTGTCATTTGAGACAAAAAGGGTGTGCCCTCTCTCACCCCTATCATTGAGCTCGACCAAAGCATCAAGAAAGGAAGAGGAAAAGCTCCCAAGACCACCTCCATTGTTGCAGCACGAGCTCAAGGGGTTTTGGTCCAAAGAAGGAGGTTTGAGAAGGAAAAAGTTAGGAAAAAGTGTGAAAATTAAGGTAATGACCTTATTATGACTTCTCCTTTATTTTTCTTCTACCATATGAGGTATATATCATGTGAAGGACCTTTAGTATGGTTCCATATGTTATAAGTATGGATTCATGGGTTGAAAGGTGGTTCTATGTCCAAGAACGGACTTAGGAGCCAAAATAACCGGTTCACCGGAAAATAACCTTTTTGAGGTTATTTGTATTAATATGGGTTTTATGATTATAAAACCTTGTTAGGCACTTGTAAAGGGTATTTCAAGTGATTTCACAAAGTTGGAAAAGTCGCCGGAGTTGTCGCCGGAGTTGACCAAAAGTCGCCGGAGTTTCACCGGAGTTCAACCAAGAAGGGTAGAACTTCATAACGCTAGTTCAAGGTGAGTGGACGGCTTAATATCTTATAACTTTTGGGTTAATTATGAGATTACCTAAATAAATGTTATATGTGTTCATAATGATGTTTAAAAGATATTTAAACATGTGATTAGCCAACATAGTTAAGTGCGTATGAAAAGAAATAATTGTTTATGCATGAAATATGATATGAGAAATTATATATAATGCATATTTGCTTTAAGTGTAAAAGAAGCACAAATGGATTTTATTAACTTAATTATATGATGATTTAGTTAATAAGTGTAAGACTTGAGATGGCGGTCAACAACAACGTTGACCGACGGATAATGGATTAATTAATATCGATTGGTATTAATTAATTATACATTTATATAAATGCATGGCTTTGCATGGAATGTGATACATAAGTTTTTATGTATTGAATTAGTTATGGATGACTAAATATGATATAGACCCTATCTAGTGTGATAAGTGGTAAGTCATAGGTCGGGTGGAGTACCCAAGGATCGGGCGGTTATCCTCAAAACTCGGTTATATAGGGTGGAGTACCCAAGGATCGGGCGGTTATCCTCAAAACTCGGTTATATAGGGTGGAGTACCCAAGGATCGGGCGGTTATCCTCAAAACTCAATTATAGGGTGGAGTACCCAAGGATCGGGCGTGTATCCTCAAAACTCATAGATTACATTTAATGATCTAGGACCGGGCGGTGTCCTTATGATAAATTATTTGAACAAGGAGGAGTTCTATACACTCATAGGTATATGGGTGGGTTGGGATTTAAGTCAAGGATATTGGCTACGATTATTTTCCCAAATAAACAATGACCTACGGGTCGGGTATTTCCAAGTGTATGTATACAAATATGTATTTCAAACTTGGGGAAAGGACTATACGTATATGTATCACCCTATGTTTGGGTCTTATACTTGAAACGCTAGTTATTCTATATTTAGCCTGCTACTCGCTCGGTACTTGTACTGACCCCTTCGGGGGGCCCCACCATTTTCAGGTTGAAGCTAGGGCTTGCTACCTGCACCTTTCTACGGGTGACATCAAATCAAGGAAGACGTGGTTCGTGCTTCCTCATTTTATTTCAAAGTACCAAACATTGCTCATGGATATTTTTATTTGTTATAAACCATTTTTGGGCTTGCATGCTCATGTTATTGGCCGGTTGTGGCTTATGACTTACCGTTGAATATTTGCGCTATTCATTGGTTTAAATGTGATGTTGTTATGTATGTTTACTACTGAGTATGGATGGATTGTTTTTCTCAAACGCCTTGTGTAATTAAGTGAGGTTGACTCGCGGGTGACGTCACTTAATTATACGGCGGTTGTACACGCGCTTGGATTGCGGTCTGGGGCGTGACAATTAAGTGGTATCAGAGCCATCTCAGTTCTAAACTATATAATCAACCTCTCACAACAGATTTTACAAAAGAGTTTTTACCGAAAACCATGAGCATTGTATTTTGACGTTTATAGGACTATTGGTGCTTAAGTTGCAAGGCCTCTAATTGTTAAGACGGTACCCTTAACAATTGGTATGGTGGTGACTTGGGCCAATACGTGTCTATGGCGTTCTTCCGTCAATTGACATTTATCGGAGTCTAATGACTCATCCATATTTCTTTCAGAAATGGAGGGCAGGCGGGTGGCAACCAGGAACAATCGGAGAGGGCGGGCGCCGGTAGCGTCCCAAAGGGGAAGCCGGGCTGCATCTCGGGGTTCAAGAGGAGGCCGTGGAGGTCGTGGAAGCCGTGGAGGTCATCAAGCTCAAACTGTGAGTGATGGCCATGTAAGCTCGGTGTATGAAACCAACACCGAGGACTATGACTCAACCTACGTTCCAGAAACGGAGCATGAGGAGACCCCGTATGATGGGGGGACACATACACCGATGAGGACAATGATGAAAGTGATGCCCGCTTCGCCCAAATGGGTGAATTACTTGAGTGGTATCAAAAGGAGAAACTGAGGAGAGACCTTAGGCGCCAAGCGAGGCGTGGCTCTCGTGGTGGTTCGGGTCAAGGAAGCCGGGGAGCTTCCGTGGCCACCCCAGCGGCGCCACAAGGTGGGCATGAAGGAGGTTTTGTGGTAAGAATCTCCAAATACCTCAAGGAGGCTAGGGCCTTGGGGTGTAGGTCCTTCGACGGCACCGGCGACATTACCGCTGCCGCCGATTGGATCAAGAAGGTGAAGGATGCATCGAGGGACATGCAGATTACTCCGGACGTGAAGCTAACTGTCGCTTCACGGCTACTTGAGGGGATGGCTTCTACATGGTGGGAAGGTGTAGAAGGGAAATACTGTGGGGACATCTCATGGGAAAATTTTGAGCAAGAATTTTATGCTCAATACTACTCCGATTTCGAGGTTAATGTGAAAAGGAGGGAGTATACCAACCTCAAGCAGAAAGAGGGTTGCACGGTTAAGCAACTGGAGCAAGAGTTTAGGACCTTCGCTAGGTTCTTGCCGGAGTATGCGATCGATGAGGACCGCATGACTGAGCACTTCTGGGATGCCTTACTCTTGGACATCCGAGATCGTGCCACGTATTCCCGCCTCATGACCTTTAGTGAGGTGGTAGAGCAGGGCATGCTTGGAGAGGCCCAGTGGAATGAGAGGAAAGCAAGGGACGCCGAAGAGGTGAAGAAAAGGAAGTGGAATAATTCGGGGCCACCCGATCATTCTCGAAGGAACAACCACGGGGGTGGTGGTGGTGGCGGTGGTTCATTCAAGGCGCCGGCTCCACCGGCAAAGAAGAATAGGGATGCGAGGTGGCACGGACCTAGGCCACAGAACTCAGGGCCACCTAGATGTCCCAATTGCTCAAAACAACACTTTGGGAGGTGCAATGAACCACCGAGGTGTTTTAAGTGCGGGAATGCGGGCCATATGAAGGCCAATTGCCCTCAATTGATGCAAGAGAGTGCCTCGGGAGCCGGGGGAGGGACCATGACGGGAAGAAACCGTGCGGGACCGTCAAACGGCGGTACGGGAAGAGGCGGTGCATCCACAAGCCATGCCGCATCCGTCAACCAAGGTGGGACCCAAGCACGAGTCTACGCGATGACCGAGGCGGATGCGCGAGCAAACCCGGACTCCGTTGCAGGTAATACACGTATTCCCATGTATTTCTAGGCTTATTTTGATCATATACACCGTTGGGGGTTGAGTTCGGGCCACCCCGGGATCAAACGGAGCGAAATTGAGCGAAATCGGGCGAAATCGGGCTGATTTCTGCCAACGCACTACAGGCTGGGCTGCACGCCCGGCCGTGCGTTGCCCGTGCGTACCTCCGTGCGTTGGTGGCAGTAGCACCCCGGAGGAAAATCGCTGCACGCCCGGCCGTGCGTTGCCCGTGCGTACCTCCGTGCGTTGGTGGCAGTAGCACCCCGGAGAAAATCGCTGCATGCCCGGCCGTACGTTGCCCGTGCGTCCCTTCGTGCGTTGAGGGCAGTAGCCTCCATTGGTAAGGCAAGGTACGCACGACCGTGCGTACCCCCTACGCACGCCGTGCGTGGACCCCTGGCACCCGAAACTTGATTTTTTCGCCCCGTTCTTCTACGTTTGGACGCCCGTTTGATTCCAAACATTAGTATGAACCTAATAACCTCCTAAAAGAGTGTAAAAACATTAGAAATGGTATCTTACATGGTGTATAAATGTAGGAACACTAAAGATCAATGGTAGGTGTGCGAGGATCCTCATCGATACCGGGGCACAACGCTCATTTGTGAGTGAGGCGTTCGCCGAGGGCCTTGACGTGCCATTGACACCTATGATGCAAACGTTGCTAGTCTCCACACCATTAGGAGACGATGTGGAGAGAAATCATTACTATCCATCATGTGAGGTGGAAGTGACGGGTCAACCCTTGACTTGTGATTGCGTACCTCTAAGCATGTTGGAGTTCGATGCAATCCTAGGAATGGATTGGCTTGAGAAGCACCATGCTCGAGTAGATTGCTACACCAAGGTGTTGGAGCTCGAGGATGATCAAGGAAACACGCTATGTTTCGAAGGAGATCGGGGGAAATCAAATGCTTGCATCATATCCGTGATGAGAGCACGGAGGATGATGAGAAAGGGATGCCACGCATACCTTGCTTACGTGGTGGACGATACGAAGAAAGAAGTTGACATCGAGGATGTACGAGTCGTGTGCAAATACCCGGATGTCTTTCCCAAAGACCTACCGGGGCTTCCACCCGATAGAGAGATCGAATTCGTGATTGAAGTGGAGCCGGGAACCAAACCCATTTCGATTCCTCCTTATCGAATGGCACCGGCCGAGCTTCAAGAGTTGAAGGTCCAACTACAAGAACTATTGGACAACGGGTTCATCAGACCCAGTCATTCACCGTGGGGAGCACCCGTACTCTTTGTAAAGAAGAAAGATGGTACACTAAGAATGTGTATCGACTACCGGCAGTTGAACAAGGTCACCATCAAGAACAAGTATCCCTTACCGAGGATTGATGACTTGTTCGATCAACTTCGAGGGGCAATAGTATTCTCGAAGATTGATTTGAGGTCGGGGTACCATCAGTTGAAGATCAAGGAGAATGACATACCTAAAAGTGCGTTCCGCACTAGATACGGTCACTACGAGTTCCTTGTGATGTCATTTGGTTTAACCAACGCACCGGCGGCATTCATGGACTTGATGAACCGTGTGTTTAGTGAATACTTAGATCAATTTGTGATAGTATTCATTGATGACATCTTGATATACTCCAAAAGCGAGGAAGAGCACGAACATCATTTGGGGCTTATACTTGACCGGCTAAGGGAAAAACAACTCTTTGCCAAGTTCTCTAAATGCGAGTTTTGGCTCGGGGAGATCGGTTTCCTCGGTCATGTCATATCCGGTTCGGGCGTTGCGGTGGATAACGCCAAGATAAAAGCTATTATGGATTGGGAGAGACCCAAGAACGTGAAGGAGATACGTAGTTTCCTTGGCCTAGCGGGATACTATCGTAAATTTGTTGAGAAATTCTCCGTATTGGCGTCTCCATTAACGAAGCTCACGAAGAAAGGGGCCAAGTTCATATGGGACGACAAGTGTGAGAAGAGGTTCCTTGAGCTGAAGAAACGACTTACCGAAGCACCCGTCCTTGCCCTACCCATACAAGGGATAGGGTATGATATATACAGCGATGCTAGCATCCAAGGACTTGGATGTGTTCTGATGCAAAACGGTAAAGTGATTGCCTACGCTTCTAGGCAATTGAGGAAACACGAGGTGAACTACCCTACCCACGACCTAGAATTGGGGGCGGTAGTGTTTGCACTGAAGATCTGGAGGCATTATCTCTACGGGGAGACGTGTCACATTTTTACAGATCATAAGAGCTTGAAGTATGTATTCACTCAGAAAGAGCTGAATATGAGACAGAGGAGATGGATGGAGTTGATCAAGGACTATGACTTGATCATCGACTACCATCCAGGAAAGGCCAACGTCGTGGCCGGTGCACTGAGCAGAAAGAGTACGTCGGGGACGCTACTCGCATGTCTACAGGCGTTGAGGGCACGCATTGAGGTGTCCACGTGCGGGGCTCTCATTGCTCGATTCGAGGTTAGGCCCACCCTATTGGGTGAGATCAGTCGAAGTCAGGCCATTGACGAGGAATGTCAGGAGATTCGTGAAAGAATCCTTGAAGGACCCGTTGAGAACTTCCGAGTACGTGATGACGGTCTCTTGTTGTTTAAGGATCGTGTATGCATACCCAAGAATGAGGAACTCCAGAGGTCTATACTTGAGGAGGCTCATTCTTCAGCTTACGCTATGCATCCAGGAGGTACCAAGATGTACCGAGATTTGAAGGAAAGTTACTGGTGGTCAGGTATGAAGAGAGACATCGCAGAGTATGTGAGTCGATGCCTTACTTGCCAGCAAGTTAAGGCAGAACATCAGCACCCGGCAGGGCTTTTGCAGCCACTCACCATCCCAGAGTGGAAGTGGGAGCACGTGACCATGGACTTCGTGGTGGGGCTACCACGAACAGTGAACAACTATGATGCAGTTTGGGTAGTGGTTGATAGGCTCACCAAGAGTGCACACTTTTTGCCTATCAACATTACTTATCCTCTTGAAAGATTAGCCAAGCTATACACGGAGGAGATTGTGAGATTACATGGAGTCCCAATATCCATTGTCTCGGATAGGGATCCACGGTTCACATCCCGATTTTGGCCAAAGTTTCAAGCATCGTTGGGTACTAAACTGAAGTTTAGCACAGCTTTTCACCCGCAGACGGATGGACAGTCCGAACGGGTGATACAGATTTTGGAAGACATGCTTAGGGCATGTGCGCTGGAGTTCCAAGGGAGTTGGGACAAGCATTTGGCCCTAGTGGAGTTTGCTTATAACAACAGTTATCAAGCAAGTATCGGCATGCCTCCATATGAGGCATTGTATGGGAGGAAATGCAGAACACCATTGTGTTGGGACGAGGTTGGCGAGGCCAAACTCGAAGGAATAGAACTGGTCGAGATCACCAAGGCTAAAGTGAGGACCATTCAAGAGAGACTGAAGGCTGCTCAGGACCGACAGAAGAGTTATGCTGATAAACGGCGGAGACCGTTGGAATTCGAAGTCGGTGATAAGGTTTTTCTAAGGATTTCTCCTTGGAAGGGCATCATTCGATTTGTATCGAGGGGAAAGCTTAACCCCCGATACATAGGTCCGTTTGAGATCCTTGAAAGGATCGGGGCCGTGGCTTACCGTCTCAAGTTGACGCCTGAACTTGAGAAGATACATGACGTGTTTCATGTATCAATGCTCAAGAAGTACATACGAGACCCATCTCATATTCTTGAGAAACCACCGGTAGAGATCCGTGAGGACTTGCAATATGCGATGGAACCAGTGAAGATTGTTGGTCAACAAGTGAAGAAGCTTAGGAATAAGTAGATTCCTATGGTAAAGGTTCTTTGGAGGAGTGATCGAGTCGAAGAAGAAACTTGGGAGACCGAGGTCTCAATGAGGGAGCAATACCCATTTCTTTTCGACTAACTACTTGGATTTCGGGGACGAAATCCCAAATAAGGGGGGGTGAACTTGTAACACCGTCCCCAAATATATTTACTTTTATGTAAATAATGTATCGAACCTTATTAAAGGATTAATGAATTTACGAAGTTGTAAATTTTTATTATTTCTTTCGCGTGAATAGTAATTGCATGTGGGACCCACATCGGGAGCGGGGACCACCCAACTTTCCCAAGACCACATATTTTATTCATCTTGGTCAAGATAATATTTATATGGTGGTGGATATTTTTACTTGGGTCGTGGAAGGGCCTTGTGTTGGCCGATTGGGCAAAAGAGGCCCAAATACCGGTACCGACAATTTAACAGACTTGAGCCCGAAAATGAATTTCGGAGACTTCTAAATTAAAGTTTTGGAATAGATATTATTTCAAAGGGGCGTTACGATTGGGGACACGTAATATATTTTATTGGACCCGATAGAATAAAATATATTTAAAACAGTCCGAAAAATACAACTTTCGGGACCGATTGTACACATCGGGACACAAAGGGATGACCTCCCACATGAGTGGGGGGCCACCCCACGTTTTTGTGTGCTCAACAAGACCCATGTAGGCTGGAATGACAAACTAATATGTGGAGGAGGACCATTTGGCATCTATAGTACCAAGAAGGACCCCTCACCCTCTCTTATTGTCATTTGAGACAAAAAGGGTGTGCCCTCTCTCACCCCTATCATTGAGCTCGACCAAAGCATCAAGAAAGGAAGAGGAAAAGCTCCCAAGACCACCTCCATTGTTGCAGCACGAGCTCAAGGGGTTTTGGTCCAAAGAAGGAGGTTTGAGAAGGAAAAAGTTAGGAAAAAGTGTGAAAATTAAGGTAATGACCTTATTATGACTTCTCCTTTATTTTTCTTCTACCATATGAGGTATATATCATGTGAAGGACCTTTAGTATGGTTCCATATGTTATAAGTATGGATTCATGGGTTGAAAGGTGGTTCTATGTCCAAGAACGGACTTAGGAGCCAAAATAACCGGTTCACCGGAAAATAACCTTTTTGAGGTTATTTGTATTAATATGGGTTTTATGATTATAAAACCTTGTTAGGCACTTGTAAAGGGTATTTCAAGTGATTTCACAAAGTTGGAAAAGTCGCCGGAGTTGTCGCCGGAGTTGACCAAAAGTCGCCGGAGTTTCACCGGAGTTCAACCAAGAAGGGTAGAACTTCATGTTCATAATTATGTTCATAATGATGTTTAAAAGATATTTAAACATGTGATTAGCCAACATAGTTAAGTGCGTATGAAAAGAAATAATTGTTTATGCATGAAATATGATATGAGAAATTATATATAATGCATATTTGCTTTAAGTGTAAAAGAAGCACAAATGGATTTTATTAACTTAATTATATGATGATTTAGTTAATAAGTGTAAGACTTGAGATGGCGGTCAACAACAACGTTGACCGACGGATAATGGATTAATTAATATCGATTGGTATTAATTAATTATACATTTATATAAATGCATGGCTTTGCATGGAATGTGATACATAAGTTTTTATGTATTGAATTAGTTATGGATGACTAAATATGATATAGACCCTATCTAGTGTGATAAGTGGTAAGTCATAGGTCGGGTGGAGTACCCAAGGATCGGGCGGTTATCCTCAAAACTCGGTTATATAGGGTGGAGTACCCAAGGATCGGGCGGTTATCCTCAAAACTCGGTTATATAGGGTGGAGTACCCAAGGATCGGGCGGTTATCCTCAAAACTCAATTATAGGGTGGAGTACCCAAGGATCGGGCGTGTATCCTCAAAACTCATAGATTACATTTAATGATCTAGGACCGGGCGGTGTCCTTATGATAAATTATTTGAACAAGGAGGAGTTCTATACACTCATAGGTATATGGGTGGGTTGGGATTTAAGTCAAGGATATTGGCTACGATTATTTTCCCAAATAAACAATGACCTACGGGTCGGGTATTTCCAAGTGTATGTATACAAATATGTATTTCAAACTTGGGGAAAGGACTATACGTATATGTATCACCCTATGTTTGGGTCTTATACTTGAAACGCTAGTTATTCTATATTTAGCCTGCTACTCGCTCGGTACTTGTACTGACCCCTTCGGGGGGCCCCACCATTTTCAGGTTGAAGCTAGGGCTTGCTACCTGCACCTTTCTACGGGTGACATCAAATCAAGGAAGACGTGGTTCGTGCTTCCTCATTTTATTTCAAAGTACCAAACATTGCTCATGGATATTTTTATTTGTTATAAACCATTTTTGGGCTTGCATGCTCATGTTATTGGCCGGTTGTGGCTTATGACTTACCGTTGAATATTTCCGCTATTCATTGGTTTAAATGTGATGTTGTTATGTATGTTTACTACTGAGTATGGATGGATTGTTTTTCTCAAACGCCTTGTGTAATTAAGTGAGGTTGACTCGCGGGTGACGTCACTTAATTATACGGCGGTTGTACACGCGCTTGGATTGCGGTCTGGGGCGTGACATTTTGAGCCAAACAAACTTTAGCAAATAAGGTATGAGACAATTAAATAGTGACATCCCAATATAGTAAAATGAGACATTTAAAAGGGGACGAAGGAAGTACAACTTAGCATATATACTACTCCGTATTATTCTTATACATAAAAAGTTATGATTCATTAATGATGTTACGGATCGGGTAACAGTGCGGGTACCCGCACCATTAGTGAACGGGACGGTTTCGGGGCGGATAAAGGGGCGGATAACGGGACGGATTAATATAGAACCATAACTGCTCTATTAACCATTTAAAAAATTCGGGTATTCCCCACCTCGTACCCATACCCTAGTCAAATCGGTTTCTCCCGATTTGACCAAATCGGTTCGGTGCGAGTATGCAACGGGTCGTCCGGGATTGCTATTCCTAATTGGAAAAAAGAGATGGCGGGCGGAGGACGGCAAGGGAACGCCCATCATGAGATTCCATTCCATTTGATGAGTGAGTTTGACGGAGTGTGAGACGGTGACGGGAAAAGAGAAAATTGAATTGAGGGAAAAGGGATATGCGCGTCCGTGATTGACGACGCCCAAGTGGCGCACAGTATATACAAAACCCTCGCTTATTATTACCCAGCTCATCGCAACTCTCTCTCTCTCTCTCTCTCCGATACAGATCAAAACAGAACAGAAGAAAGGCAGCGATTAAGATGGCGAGATCCGCAGCAATCTTTGCTCTCTGTGCACTCGCCGCCACCGCCCTCACTGTTTCCGCTTGCCGCCCTCCCTTTGTTCTTACGGGCGCAGTCTACTTAGACACCTGCAATGTGGGCTTCGAAACCACCCAGTCCTTGTATCCCGAAGGTAATTTCCTCGAACTCGAACCTCGTCGCCTCTTGTACTTGCACGGATCCGATGTTTTTTGTTTGAATCCATTCTCTCTCTAGTAATGTTAATTTGGATTAAAATGGCCAGATCTAGTCTAGTGTGATAAGACTTGAGCAGCAGATCCAGGTAATTTGTTATTCATCAATAATGGGTGTTGCGTGGCAGGTTCTCTTGTGACATTGAAGTGCACGGATAGGAAGAGCTTGAAGACCGTCCTCGTTGCCCAGGCCGTTACCGACAAGCAAGGAAAATATAACATCACTGTGAATGAAGACCAGGGCAGCGCGATATGCGACGTCATCGCTGTGAGCAGCACACATGAAAATGCAGCGGAAGCAACTCTTGGCCGCGACAGCTCCCGGGTCTCCCTCACCTGCAAAAACGGCATGGCCACCAACCAACGCGTCGCCAACAACCTCGGAATCAACGTCAAAAACACCCTGCAAGCCTGTGACCAGATCGCCGCCCAGTACCACCTCGACGACGACAATTTCTAATCAATCCAGCCCCTGTGTACTACTACTACTACTACTCCACTGTTCGTTGACCTCATCTCCCCCCTCACTCTTGCTTCCTTTGCAATAGTAATCGCCTGCCTTTGGGTTTACACTCTTCTTTTGCTAATTCACTTCATGTTTTATTGTTGTTTCACTTAGTTGCTTGTGTATTTGTAATGTCAAAACTTCAAAATCGCACATCAGTTGTTGGTTGGTTATATTCTTTGGCCAAGTTCTGTAATTTGTTGTCACTCACATACATGAATGCTGCCTGCCAGCAACCTTGGGCTGTTTTATAAATATACTACTTATTTGTTTTAACTTCCACCAATATACTCGTATTTATACTAGTATATCGTTAAAGTGAATATTTTCTTAGCCGCCTCTGATTCACTTGCTCTTCCATTTACTTTTACTTGGGCCTTTTCAGTCTTGTTTTAGCTCAAGCAGTTGGTAAAACTATACTGGGCTAGCTTGAATTCAGTCATAGTTGATCTAGTGTTATTTGCTAAACATTCACACAAATGAATGATGATCATGATAATTCAAGAGTCAAGACAATACCACAATTGATTAAAACAATATAATAAATTACACAAGCCTTCTTTTCTTCGCATTTTATGCATATTCATGTGGCATCTTATTCAAACCAAAAATCTTATCTCCATTCATTATTGTTTAGTCGTTTCTGGTTGAAGAATATATTTTATTTTTAAATAAATACGTACAAATTACTCATGCCTGTGACTTTGACATCCTGTATTCCTGGTACTGTGAATTATAATACGGAGTATAAAAAACATATTGCATGAACCACAGTAACCCCTCAAGATGTAAGACTCTATCTTGTTTCCTCTTCCTTTTCGAGTTTTAGAGTTTTCAGTTTCAATTACCGAACGTAGCACACAATTACATATGGATGTTTTACCTTCTCAGTCAAGTCATTTCTAAGAGACTTGTACTAGGTCGCTACAACCTTCTTTGGGTGTTACACTCTTGTTCGACCAAACCTTTCCTAAATACTCTTCTAACCCAAGGACCTATACTCATGGCCGGTCCTAGGGGAGGGCAACAAGGGCGACCGCCCTAGGCCCAAAAAAAAAAGTATAAAGAAAATTAGGTCCAAGTTTTTTCTTTATAAGTAATCTGAGTAGACTTCTTTTTCTATTTATAATTTCAATTAATTAATTAGGCCTAATGTGTAATTTTTGTTGACAATTTGAGAATTTAAAACATAACTAAAAAGTCTTGAACGGAGCTAGACAAATTTTAAAAAAGAATATAAGTTTAGTT